TGTTTATTATAGACATTGAGTTTGTTTTTAAAAAGTACCTTGGTTCTGTTCATTATAATAGACATTGAATTGTTTGTTTTTAATGTACCTTGGTTYTACCTTACTGCATTACTACAAATTAGCTGTTGATCTACTTAACTAGGTTAGATGCATGTCTGGCTTACTTATCCATGGGGAAAATGTTGCCTACTTTAAGGACTAGAAGACTGGTAAAGAGTACTGGGTTTATATGTTTGACATTCAGCTCAAGGCAAACACTTCAAGGGTAGCCACCTGAAAACTTGATGCCTCTGAAGAATATTACGTGCTTGTATCTGAGCTTTAATGTATGCGCATGTGTCTGAGAATTAATGTTCTTCGTGATGGATTGATTGCAAGAATGTGAAATGGCTCTCTAAAGCTCTTCATATGTACCCGATTTGTTTATGTAATCTTTATTCATTTATATGCTTGTTGTACTTGAAAATTTACTCTTGTTGTGCCTTCTTTTATACTAGTAATATTTGTTAAACGTTTTTCTTAAAATTCAAGCTTAATGCCTTGGGCTGACTGTTGCTTTTGCTATCAGGTCTTCTCTACAGCAGCTGATAACCAGACTCAGGTGGGTGTCCGAGTGCTGCAAGGTGAGCGTGAAATGGCAACTGATAACAAGCTCCTGGGAGAGTTTGAGCTTGTGGGTATTCCACCTGCTCCAAGGGGTATGCCCCAGATTGAAGTCACATTCGACATAGATGCCAATGGTATCGTCACTGTTTCTGCAAAGGACAAGGCCACTGGGAAAGAACAACAGATCACTATAAGATCATCTGGAGGGCTGTCTGAAGATGAGATTGAGAAAATGGTCAAGGAAGCAGAGCTCCATGCGCAGAAAGACCAAGAGAGAAAAGCCTTGATTGATATCAAGAACAGTGCAGACACAACGATCTACAGTATAGAGAAGAGCCTTGGTGAGTATAGAGATAAAATTCCAGCGGAGGTTGCCACAGAGATTGAATCTGCTGTGTCAGATTTGAGAAATGCCATGAATGGTGAGGACATAGACGAGATAAAGTCAAAACTGGACGCCGCAAATAAGGCTGTGTCAAAGATTGGCCAGCACATGGCCGGAGGCTCTGGTGGTTCTTCCTCCTCTGGGTCTCAGGGTGGTGATCAGGCTACTGAGGCAGAGTACGAGGAAGTGAAGAAGTAAAGCCCTAGAAGGCTACAAGTGACTTTTATTCTTGGGTAACCTAATTTCACAATTTTCTTAATGTGTTGAATGCCTGTAACAATATTAGCAGTTTTTTGTATCTCGACGGCTGGGGGTTATTAGAACTTTCCCAGGCATTGGAAATTGCGGATGCAATCGGAAACTTGTTCAATAGATGGGGCTCATAAATGGCATGTGGTAGCTGGAATTTATTGATTTAATTTTTCTTTCCCTTGATCAGCTAAATGCATGGTTGCTGGAAAGCATGGAAATATACACTGTTTTTATCTGCCTTTCTTTGGCCGTGGAGTTGCATTCATTGATGGCGCTTGGTTTGTTCAATTCCAGTTGGAGGAGCTTCGTCATCTGCCTTTCTTTTTAGCGGAATAAAATATTTGAGGGTCTGTTGGCCACAAAACCATAACATCAACTGGATTTAGGGTCTGATATCAATCATATAAACCACCACCCCCTCCCCCCAGGTAAAAGCCTTCCCTGCAAAAWATAAACAATTACCTATGGAAACGGAAAACGTTGATGGTTGATGTAATACATCAATATTTTTTTTTTTCAAATTCACAATTTATACATGTATGTATATATTAAAACAAGAAAGTCTACAAATTTTCTCTTTTGAATTTTATACTTTTTTAATTTTATTTCATTTTTAAAACAATTAATGCACTTTTTCAATAACCTAAATTATCACTTCTCTTAAATTACCTCCCTAACCTTCTCTAAAATTATCTTGTCTCCAAAATTATATCTAATTTTTATGTATTTCTAAAATTATTTTTAATTTATTAGAGTTTTCTCTTAAAGTATCTCTAATTCTTATTTATCCTGTCTTTTATTTTTTTTATTTATATTTAAAGAAAGTTTGGATTAAAAAATTTAAGAATTATTTAAATATTCAAATAAAATTATATAATAACTTTATAATATTTATTAAAAACACAAAAAATAATTTTTTATTTTTACAAAATGTATCATGAAATTATGTATTGACAATTTAAATTATGTTTTATTTTCAGATTATCAATTTAAATGTTTTT